TGGCCGCTGTTCTTGCAAGGGCGCGCGCAAAGTTTCTCTTGAAATGCACGTAGCAACACAACTGTTGTGCCGGGCCCGCTGGAGCGTTCGACCAACCATACGTTATGGGAGGAGCTTCTGTGATAGCCAGGCCCGCTGTTGCACTCGAGCACCCACACGTTATGGGAGGGGTCAGTGGAGAAGGCTGGGCCGGCTGTGGCGCTCGAGCTTCTGACCTTGACACTTTGCTTGTCTTCGTCCTCCTCGTCCTCCCTCCTCTTCCAACTCTTCTTCCTTCTCCTACTCGTCCTCCTCCACCTCCCTCCTCCCGTCTTCTCCCCCGTCCTGCCTCCTCCCTCCGCCTCCCTCCTTCCTCCCCCTCCTCCTGCCCCTCCCCCTTCTCCTCCCCCTCCTTTTCCTCCTCCTCCTCTTCCGTCCTCCCTCGTCCTCCCTCATTTGTCCTCCTACATTCCCCCCCACCTCCGTCCCAGTCTCTCCTCCTCCCCCCTCCCCTTGCCTCATCCCTCCTCCCCTCTCTGCGTCCTAGGAGAAACCTTCCCCTGAATAATCATAGCAGTGGTCTGCGAAGCCACAGCTTCGTGGATCGCCTGATGCCTCACTACAACGCCCCGTGGATCTAACTTCCTGTGGGTCCCAGAGATTATATACATATGCTGAACTCACTCCAACACAATAGATTGATCCATTGGTTTTCACACGGGAACTTGAATCCGCGCAACACAGACACATGATCCACGAAACTATTATACACACCCAGAAAGGGATCCAATTGGATCCATTAGTGTTGTCATATTCTCACCCAAAGAGGAGAAACGTTCGGCCTGGGGATGTAGCCCCATTTGACGAGGGTGAGACGGGGTAGATATCGGTTTGGCTGGGATGACGTGAAGCCATATTGAAAATGAGCGATCGGGTAACATCGTGTCACTTGCACCATTCCTGGGGGGAAGCGGCTACACCAGGGGGAGGGGCGGTATTGCCTTCTTCCCTTTTTAGAAAGAACATACACGCGGTGCCAATCCATGGCCCAGTTCGTTCGAACAGAAGGTCTTCCAACTCCTAGTGCAAGCACCCGTTGGGCAGTCTGCATGGAAAGCCAACGCAGCATAACGCAGGGCAAGGCAGCAAACTGCAAAGTATTGGGCGCCCGAGTTATCCGGGGTAACTCGGGTCCGGGGTAACTCGGGTTTGGATTCCCGAAAAAGGAACCCGAGTTAGCCCTGCCCCGAGCTACCCCTGATGATTCGGGGCTCTGGACGCCCGAGTTATCCGGGGTAGCTCGGGTCCGGGATAACTCGGGTTCGGATTCCCGAAAAAACGAACCCGAGTTAACCCTGACCCGAGTTACCCCTGATGATTCGGGGCTCTGACCTAGTGCAAGCACCCGTTGGGCAGTCTGCATGAAAAGCAAACGCAGCATAACGCAGGGCAAGGCAGCACACTGCGAAGCAACGCACGGCCGCGACGAGACGGCGACGGGGCGGCGACGGCGGCACCACAGCCGCCAGGCCGCCAGCCGGGCCCCACACGGCGGGCGGCGACGCGCTGGGCCGGCGACGGGGCGGCGACGGCGAGCGCGGAGCCGCGAGGCCACCCCGCCCGGGCCCAGAGCGCGGGCGGCGACGAAGGCAGCCACGGGGCGGGGACGCCGAGCACGAGGCCGCCAGACCGACGCTCGGGGCCAGGTCCTGAGAAGAGCGGCGACCACCCTCACAGTCGGGACGTTGACCCAAGGAACCCGAAATAAGGAACGGGGTCCCTTTTCCCCATCAGTGAAAGCTCGATGTCCCGTCGAAAACCCAAGGAAAACCTGAGGCAAGCTGTGAACAAATCAAGGAGCACGGAGCCCCTCCCCAACGAAAGGGTTCCTTCTTCAGCGCCCCGACTGTAAGTCTGTGGATGCCACGACAGTGGACACCCTAACAGTCCGATCATTGACTTTAACACGAGTTCAAAATGCCGGAAACATGTCCTAAGCATGTGTTGAACATGGTTTGTCTTTACATGGTTCGAACAGGTGTTTTACACGTTTTAGACATCTGGGAATTACTTGGCAACGTGGCTCCCCTCCATTGATCGTCCTGACTACCTACCAGACCACCCCAACCCAACCCGAAGACCCCAATTTCGGGTTGGTGGGGGTACGGGTTCCACATGTGTTTTTTCAGTGTTCCCCGACTGCCCCGAACTGGAAATGGAGGACAAATTGAGGCCTTCGGGTTGGGTTGGGGTGGTTTGGTGGGTGGTGACGTCCTCCAAAACCCTCCGTGCAACCACTGCTTGAGGGGATCGGGAGCAGCACGCCGACGGGCCCCCGACGGCGGAGCGTCGCCGACGCTGCCGCGAACCGCCGGGGGAAGCCCGAGGGCACCGAGACCCGCCGCTCCCAAGGGGCCTCTCCCGGGGGCGCCCTCCGGCCACAGCCTCGATCGGGAGCGGCCAAGCGGGGGGTGTCCAAGAGGGGGGGGTGCAAATCATGACCGGCGGCATGTGCGCGGCCCAGCGGGGGGGCCAGGGACGTAATGAAACAAGAAGAGGCGCCATGAAATCTGGGAAATATCATGGCCCACGCCATGATATCCCCCCCCCCCTAGTCATCACCCCCCTCTTTTCCGCCCCCGACTCGAGGCGACGAGGGCCCTCCATAGGACGGGCAGCGGCAGCGGAGTGCGGTGCTGGATGCTCCAGCACCGAGGAAGTACACCCTGCGAAATGCTTCAGAAATCATGGGTTAAGAAATTCGTAGTCTCAGAACTGGAGTAAAAACCCAACATGTCTATCAAAATCTTGGGATTTACATTGAAACGTTAAGAATAATCGAGACTCTGGCCGAAAACTTAGGTTTTCTTAAGCATCGCCTAGGTTGTGTGCCGACGAGTCCAGCGAGGTTGGACCGCTCGGGGGGGGGGGCGTCCAGCAGGAGGGGGGGGGGTCCAAGAGGAGGGGGCTGGCAGGTCATGGCTCCAGGCGTGTGCGCGGCCGAGGGAGGGCAAAGGGGACGCACTGATCGAGCAGGGGGTCGACTACATGATGTACCCCCATACTGATGTAGAACATGTGGACAGCTCGTAGATCTACAGATCAATCTTCGCGTTTTTTTTTCCTAGTCTCGACTGGAAAATCAATTCTTGGGTAAGGCAATTGTGTAGTCGATCCCCTACTCGAATTGAAAGAAGAACAACAAGGAGAAGAAGAGAGGGCCAGGACAGTCGGGGAGATAGTCATGGCCCCGGCCATGATGTCCGCTCCCCCCCTTTTCGGCTTCTCACGTTTGAGAAACCCTAGGCAAGAGTGACCTCTGGTGCGCGGCTCAGGGGGCCACGTGAGCGCCGATCAAAAATGGGTTCTACGCGAGATGGCACGGCAAACTTACGCGGTGGCTTACGCGGGCCACCATTGAAGACGAGGGCAGCTTACGCGCGAGCTTACGCGGACAGCCTACGCGCCAATGTCGGCGCAGACGACCCCGTGTTCTTGCTTCGCTCACGCGGGGGCCAGCATCCAAACACGCAAGCCAGTGCCGGGGTGGCCCATGTGGGCCCGCACCGAAAGCCGCTCCAGCGAAATGTCACCCTCTCTTTGGACGCCCAGAATTGAAGGGGCCCTGGAGCAAATACATACACACAAACAAAAATATGCCCCATATTTTCCCATATTTTCTGGGTTTTTGTCTTCGCCCCCATCTCCCATATTTTCCCATATTTTCTGAGGGATCGACGATTAATTGTGTCTGTGTGTTTTTCCCTCCTGAAGAATGGGTGCGGAAAGCATGGATACGATGCCCAACAACAGCTGCTGTTGAAAACCGTCAGCAGGCGCCACTGTGGGGCAGGCGAGCGTGTGTCCCATGGACGAGAATCGCGGCGACGCCGACAGCGAAACCTGTGCAGACTGAACAAGACATGCTCTGGGACTTTGTAATGCGGGATGACGATTAATAAAAAATGGGAGAGAACGATTAACAACAAATAGTTTTCTGATATTTCTGCACAAATTTCTGACTGGAGGAAAACGATTAAAAAGATAGTTTTCCAGCCCGCGGCCGGTTTTTTCTAATCGTCATCCCGGGCGCCGCCGCGTGAACACGACCCCCGGTTATTTATTAATCGTCATCCGCCATTACCCATTGTTTCCGTACGGCCTGACCTGGCAGAAGAAGATCCTTCAAGAAAAAGATGACCTCCGCTGGCCGCACCACCAAATCTCAAAGTCGCCGAGGGCACCCTCCCCCAGGAAGTGCAAGAACATCAAACATGCAAGAAGAACATCAGGGTACCCTCCCGGAACCGACCTCGATCTCATCCCCAGGTCCGACCGTACCCACTTCGGTTCGGGATCGGGGATCTACTGACCCGGGTCAATGCATACCTGGGCCAGTCAGGCCTCGCAGGATCCTGCAAGATCCTGCAGGGCCCCGCAGGACCCTGCACCGAGACCCAGGTCACTGCACCCCTGGCCCTGCAAGTTCCAGCGAGATCCGGCGCCCTGGCGGACCCCCGCTTGCGTGGACCCCCGTCTCTCAAGCCCCGACCCAGACCCGCGACGTTCTGATTTTTTCATGACGTCGACCCCCAGAGGTTTCGACCTATTCCCCAGGACCGGTCTTTCATCCCGAGTCGTTCTCTGACGGCCCCGTGGGCCCGGCAAGGGCCCCCCCAGAAACCGAGAGCTGTAGAAAAGCTGCCGTCCGGATGTTTCCACGAGGCGAGCATGTCTGGGCCTCTCGAGCCCCGACGGAGAGGAGATGAGCAGGGACCGACCGTCCCGGCATTCCTATAGCCATACCACGAAATGTTCTTAGAACCCAAAAATGTTCCAAGAACCAAAACAATGTTCTTAGAACATAAGCCCCATGTGTTAAAACAAAGCAATATCCGCCAGACATGTTCTAAGAACATTCCGTGGAAACCACAAAAGGTTCTTAGAACATTGCTTGGTGGGGCTATAGGCGAGCCGAGACGCTTCGCCACTGCTTGAGGAGAGGAGACGCGCGCGGCCGCCTGCCATCATGCCCTGCGGCATGCCCCCGGCCATCATGGTTCCCGCGGGTGCCTCGGCGGGCCGCCCCCCCTCGCGGGCTTCTCGCAGGCAGCGGGCACCCGCGGCGTCGCCCCGCAGACGGCTGCGGCGAGCCGTCGCCGCCGTCGCCGCCGTCGTCGGCGTCGTCGCTCGATCGGAACCCAGACATGATCGCGTCGGAAAAAAATCAGGACGGCAGTTTGTCGCTATTTTCGGCCCCTGGGGGCCCTCGCCGGGCCTCGGGACCGTCAAAAAACGACTGAGGATGAGAAACCGGTCCCGGGGAAGGGGTCGGGACTTCTGGGGACGCCGTCCTGAAAAATCAGGACGTCGCATGTCTGGGAAGAGAGCGAGGGCCATGACCAAGACTGGACGCGGAAGCGTCGGTGCCGATCTTGGTCGTCGTCCATCTTCTGGGTCATCGCCAGGTCGTGCCAACCCGTAGGTCGTCCTCGCAGATCGGCGACGGCCGGCACGGATCACGACAAACGCCGACGTCGACGACGTCCCGCGACGCCTCGGTCATGGTCGTCGTGTTTCGTCACTCGATTGTCGTCGGCGTCGTCGCCCCCCGCCGGGCGGAAGGGTGGTCGAGCGCGAGGAGGGGAGGGAGGGAGGGAAGAAGGTTTGGAGTCCCGATACGGTGCGGTGACAGACGGTGCGGTGACCTCGAAATCCCCCAAGACCTCACCGCACGGTCCGTCACCGCACGGTCTTGGGACCCCGGCGGCTCCAGTCGCCCGAGACGTCCTGGGAGAACGACCCGAGCCCCAAAACCGTGCGGTGACCCCGAATCCCCGCCGACTCACCGCACGGTGTGGTCACCACCCCGTTTGGGGGCCCTCGAGAATCGGCTACACGCAGGAGTGACCCTGGGTAAGAGTGACCTTTGGTGCGCGACTTTTTGGGGGCCGCGGGGGGACGAAACCTAGGCGCGCAAGCAGCTGCTACTGCCTCGTTTTCAGCCATCTGGGGACCCATCTGTGCCCGCACCAAAGGTCACTCAGGCGAAAGGTCACTCTTACGTCTAGTCGAGAGAAGGAAGGGAAGGAGTCGTGCACCGCCGGGAGCCGTGCACGCCGACGGCTGCCCGGGGGCCAGCCCCGGCCTGGTCCCCAGGCACCTGACGATGTGACTTCTGCAGCGCGCGGCCCCTGAGGCCCAGACCCCTTCCCCGGGGACACGTCGTCCATCCCGGATCCATTGAAGGGGTCCTGGGACACACAAATCAATACACACAAATAAACATGTTCCCCATATTTTCCAATACTTTCTGGGTTTCTGTCTTCCCCCACACTTCCCATATTTTCCCATTTTCTCTGGGGAGTCGACGATTAATTGTGTCTGTGTTTTTTCCTCTCCTGATCCATGTTCCATGACGATGATAAGACGAAGCCAGGACGAGGACAACATCGGGTGAGGATAAATCGCGGATTCTCGGAAATCCGACGGCTCTGGAGGACCTCTCGGGCGCCGCGGCCTTCTCGTAGCGTTCCAGAACGCTCCGAAAACGTTCCAGAACGCCCTGGAACAGATTTATCCTCGTCCTAGCCCCGTAGGTCCCTTCCCCGGGGACATCTTATCCATCCCGGATCCGTTCTCCATGACGATGAAGCGCCCTAGGGGCCGAAATCGAGAAAACACTCCGGGATTCCAATAAAAATCAAACGGCATTTGGGGTTCCCCTGGGCCTTGATGGTTCTGCAGTAACTCATGGGAGCCTCCCGCACCATCTGGTTGGCTCTTGCGACTCGACGTTGATCGACGCTAAATCGACGCTCGTCTATGCAAACTCGGCGCTTTCTCATCGATCACCAGACGCTGGTCGACGCCAGTGCACTCTCAAGACGGCGTTACGAAGTGTACAAGGCTCCCATGACTTGCTACCGAAAGATGGTTCCCTCCCCCTCAACGGGCGGGGTAGATAACCACCCGTGCCGGCCACTAGAGGCCTCCTACCACCCCACTATGTGAGGGAACAACTCCTGGGTCTTCGCCAATCGATAAACCTCAAGCTTCGACCCTCGATCGATCCCAAGATGACTCCCAGGCAGACTCGTGACTCGAACGGGGGAACGGCGACGCAGGGGTGGACGAGACGCGCGGTTGTTAGGACAGCCCGAACAAAGTCGCCACTCTTTGGCGGCGTAAAAGCGGCCAGAAAATAACCTGCGAGGAATTCTCAGGCGATATCGCCACTCTCCAGCAGCATGAAGATGGATCTTATTTTTCTGAGGTAGTCCCACGCGAAATCGCCACTTTCAGATGCCATGGCAAATTTTCAGATCGCCCTGGAAGGCGATCTGAAAGTTTAGTTGAGGAAATCTCAGGCGGAATCGCACCTTCAGACGCTGACCCAACTTGGCCGTTGTAGCATTAAGAAGGGTTCGAGATGCATCTGAAATTCCCAAATCGGCCCCAACTCAAACATTGTCCCAGGGCCCCGTGGCCTAATGGGAGGTCAACCGTGTCGTTCTCGATCCCCACGGTCTCCCCTGTTTGATCCAGCGGGTTGTAGATGCGGTCCGAGTAGACAGGGTCGGAGGATTGCACCGCATCGCCGCTGCATCAGCGATGCATCGGTGATGCATCGGCAACGTCGGCGATGCATCGGCGACGTCGGCGTGGAAAAAATCGGGCTCCGCACGGAGCCGCACCGCCGATGCATCGGCGATGCGGCGCGCACCGCCGATGCATCGGCGATGCTTCGACGATCCTCGGACCTTCGCCGCTGGGAGCCCATCTGGGAGGCCTAGATCCTCGCGACCTGCCGCCGCTCCGGCGTCCACTCCTCGTGCATGTGCCGGTCTCGTGCGTGCTTTCTGCTCGCAAGACGGTCCAGGATGCTCCTCGACTGCCCCCGCCGAAAAAAATTGACTCGTCCGAGAGGCTCCCCGAAACTCCCGGACAGCGCGACACTCTGGCGCGGCGGCGGGCGCTCGGCGTGCGCCCGCGGCGGCGGGCGGCGCCGGGTAAAAGGAGGAGGAGGAGGAGGAGGAGGAGGAGGAGGAGGAGGAGGAGGGAGGAGGGGGAGGAGGAGGAGGAGGAGGAGGAGGAGGAGGAGGAGGAGCAGGAGGAGCAGGAGGAGGAGGGGGAGGTGGGGGAGAGCGGCGGGCGGCGCCCTTTTTTTTCGCAGCGAGGCGTGCCGCGAGGCGCGGGGCTCCTGCCGCGGCAACGAGTTTACAACAGGGCCCCAAAGGAGGCCTCGAGGACCCGCCCGAGGCACCTCCCTTCCCCCCCCTCCCACTATCGCCCCCCCATTGAGCGACGCCCGACCAAGGGCGTGGGGGAGCAAGAGCCCCAGGCGACCCGAAGTCCACGGAGGTCCAAGAGGCCAAGGAGGGTTCAGGAAGCTGCAGCGGCTCTGCTGCAGGAGGGGGTGCAGGGTTCTGGGGAGAGGGAGGGGAAGGAAGATGAGACACGATGACGGAGGAGGATGAGGGAGGGAAGAATGGTTTGCAAGTCTGAGGAAGCTTCTCGGAAGGGCGACACAGATGAGCAACATCATTGAAATTCCTAAGAGGATTCCAGGAAGCTCCAACACATGTCCACAGTGGATGAGATATTTGAATGATGGGAGGGCGGATGGGCAACGCGAGGGGGATTGGAACAAGTGGGCGTTGAATTGAACTGGGATCGCATCGCACAGGGCAGCCCTTCCAGGGCTATCAAATGAAGGCTCAGCAGCAACATCATCGTCATCTTTGTGGGCATCACCAGTTACGCAGCGATGCCATGTGTGTGGCAAGTTCACACGCGTGCCCATCTGTGAACCAATGCAAACAAGCAAGCATCAGTATCGTCTCCATTGCCATGGTCATGATTACGAGACGCTGCACCACATATTCACCTCACGCGCGTGACCACCATCATCGTCAAAAGGGTGCTCCCACGCAGCTCTAGCCGCTCACTGGTCGTCATCGAAACAGAGCAGCAGCACCTCGGGTCGGCGCCGCAACGCCCTCATCTCCCACGGCAGGTTCGTGTCGTGGCGACTTGTGCGGTGTTTCCTGACACCGCGTGGATCGTTCATCCTTGAACGATCGCCACTTTCAGATAGCATCAGGCAGCGCAGACGTCTCGACAGTCGTCGATTCCGCGCTGCCTGCGGCGCTCCACCTGGAACGCTCGCGCGGGGGCCGCCGCCGCATTGGCACGACGCGACCCTGCCGCCCCCTGCACCAACTCCAGGCCCTGTCCCAGGCCCATGCCTTCCCTGCTTCCCCCCCCTCTGCCCTCTCCGCCGCTGCCCACCCCCCCCGGCCCCCTCCCAACTCCAACTCGCTGGCCCCGTCCGCCCCTCTCCTGCTCCGCCGTCGGACCCCTCCCCTCCCCCGCCCCTCCCTCCCGTGCGCGCGCCGCACGCCCGCTGGGCCGCCGACTCCTGGCGTCGACTGGAGCTCCGCTCGTATCGATCGGAGACCTCCGAACCCTCCCCTCTGCCCTCCCCTCTGCCCTCCCTCTCCACTCATGCCCCTCGGCGGGTTTCGATCGGGAACGGCGAGAAGTTTAGCATGCTTATGTTTAATATTAGTATTGTTTTGGATTAGTATTGTTATTCTTATCAGTAGTATTACTATTATTATTGTTATTGTTATTATTATTATTAGTATTATTATTATTAGTATTACGAATCGTATTAGTATTCGTATTATTATTAGTATTATTACTATCATTATTAGTATTAGTATTATTCTTATTATTAATATTATGATTAGGAGTATTATAATCATTATTCTTATTATTATTGGTTCAAGAACTCCAAGGCCGCGAAGCTGGGGGGCCTCAGGTCGGGCTGGGGGGGGCCTCAGGTCTATCGACTCCAACCTTGCCCAACGAACCCTTCTGGCAGCCTCCGATCCGAACTCCTCTTTCTTAACGGGCGAAGAACGGTATAAAATAAACTTTTTCGCTGTCGGGGGCGCCTGTCCCTGGGCGGCTGGAAAGTTTATACCCTTACGGTGGCACCGTAGGGGTATAAACTTTCCAGCCGCCCAGGGGCAGATGCCCCCGAAGGCGAAAAAGCTTATTTCATACCGTTCTTCGCCCGTTAACTCCTCTCTCTCTCTCGCGCCCTTTCTCCTCCTCAGCCCCAGGAGGAGCACCGCCATCACCGTGCCCACGATCAGCATGCTGTCCGAGCCCTCGAAGATGCGGAACTCGACGGAGGCGGCCTGCGGTGGCGCCCCATCGCTCTGCGGCAGCCCCCGCCGGCTCCGTGTCCCCCTTAAACGCTTCGGCGCCAGTTGCCCGCGCGCTCCAACGGCCAAGTCTACCCCAACGGCCTTATCGTCCTTGTTGTCCTGGTCCTCCTCCCCCTCCTCCTCCTCCTCCTCCTCCTCCTCCTCCTCCTCCTCCTCCTCCTCCTCCTCCTCCTCTCCTCTCCCTCCTCCTCCTCCTCCTCCTCCTCCTCCTCCTCCTCCTCCTCCTCCTCCTCCTCCTCCCCCTCCCTCCTCAGGACCCCCTCCTCCTCCTCCTCCTCCTGCTCTGCCCCTCATCCTCCACCATCCACCTCCACCACCTCCTACTCCTCCTGTTCCCCAGTCTCCTCTGCCTCGAACGTCCTGGAGCCACCTCGCACTCACTCCCCCTCACCTCCACCCCCCCACCTCCCCATCCGCCCTCCTCTATGGCCGCGGCCTGCAGCGCTTTTCCGTCTCGCTCGATGACCCGCCGCGGCCCCAGCATGCCACGCACGCCTGCTGGACCCCCCGCCGTTCGCAACTCGTTTGACCAAGGTCGCTGGCAAGCAAGCACTCGCGCGCGCGCTGGCCCGCATTCTGCCTCTCTGCCCGGGCCCTCGCTTCCGAGCACGCCTGGCGTGGCGGTGCCTTCGAGCCTGCCCTGCCTCGCCTGGCTGTGGCCTCCGGCCTGGGAACAAAAAAGCAGGCCGCGGTGGTCAAATTTGGGGCTCCTCGTGGCCCCAGCAGGGCTCCGGCCCGGTGGACAGACCTGACGACGCGGAGACAGAGGAGAACACGCTCGCCTCTCGCGGCTCGCTTGAGGTGCTGCTGCCGCACTGAGCCATGCTGATGCCCTGCCCCAAGAAGTCGCCACCAGACCGATCCTTGCCAAGCCTGTCCTGGGCCCAAATGCGTACTCTGGCTGGGGCAATAATCGGGCCCCCCCCCCTTTGATCCGCTGGGGGGGTTGGGCACGTGCTGTCGGAACGGGTGGAGTGGGGGCTGGAGGAGGAGGAGGGGGAGGAGAGGGAGGAGGAGGAGGAGCAGGAGGAGGAGGAGGAGGAGGTGGAGGAGGGTTTGGGGATGGGCAAGCTCCGTCGGAAGGTCAGCCGCCCACCCCTCGAGTAATCTCCCACCCAGAGTATAGGTGCCCGCCGTGGAGGCCCATGCGCCGACCCTCGGCCCAACATCGGCCTGACCAAGACCGCTGCAGGCATGCAGCTGACGTCCCCCGAACCGGCCCGTCTTCCTGCCCCTGCCTGCAGCTCCTCCTCCTCCTCCTCCTCCTCCTCCTAATCCTCCTCCTCCCCTTCCTTCCTCCTCCTCCTCCTCCTCCTCCACCTCCTCCCCTTCCTCCTTCCCCTCCCCCCCCCACCCTCCTCCTCCTCCTCCACCTCCTCTTCATCACCACCAGCACCAGCACCAGCACCAGCACCACAATCGCCATCATCATCATCATCATCATCATCATCATCATCATCATCATCATCATCACCACCACCACCACCACCACCACCATCATCATCATCATCAGCATCAGCATCATCATCATCACTACCACAATCATCATCATCGTCATCATCATCATCAGCAGCATCATCACCATCACCATCATCAGCATTATCATCATGATCATCGTCATCATCATCGTCATCGTGATCACCATCACCATCATCAACACCATCACCATTGTCATCAGCAGCACCATCATCATCATCATCATCATCATCATCATCATCATGAGCATCGCCATCATCATCACCATCACCATCGTCATCATCAACAATAACAGAAGCATCAGCACCAGCATCATCATCATCATCATCATCATCATCAGCATCAGCAGCATCATCATGAGCATCGCCATCATTATCATCATCATCAGCATCATCACCATCATGATCATCATAATCGTCAGCATCATCGTCGACATCATCATCACCATCATCATCACAATCACCATCAGCAGTAGAAGCAGCAAGAAGAGCATCATCATCGCCATCATCAACAACAACCTTAACATCAGAAACATCATCATCATCAACAACAGTATCACCACCAACATCAGCATCAGTATCATCACCATCACCATCACCATCATCATCAACACCATCATCATCAACACCATCATCATCAACACCGTCATCATTGTAACAGCATCATCATCAGCATCATCATGATTATCATCAACATCATTATCATCACCATCACCTGCAACTTCGTCGTCATCACCATCATCATCACCACCATCAACATCAACATCATTGTCATCATCATCATCAGCAGCATCATCACCATCAGCAGCATCATCACCATCACCATCACCATCACCATCATCATCAGCATTATCATCATCATCGTCATCATCATCATCGTCATCGTGATCACCATCACCATCATCATCAGCACCACCATCATTGTCATCAGCAGCAGCATCATCATGAGCATCGCCATCATCATCACCATCATCATCGTCATCATCAACAATAACAGTAGCATCAGCACCAGCATCATCATCAGCATCAGCATCAGCAGCATCATCATGAGCATCGCCATCATTATCATCATCATCATCATCATCATCATCATCATCATGATCATCATCGTCGTCAGCATCATCGTCGACATCATCACCATCATCATCACATTCACCATCAGCAGCAGAAACAGCAAGAAGAGCATCATCATCGTCATCACCAACAACAACCTTAACATCACAAACATCATCATCAACAGCAGTATCACCACCAACATCAGCATCAGTATCATCACCATCACCATCACCATCATCATCAACACCATCATCATCAACACCATCACCATCAACAGCATCATCATCAGCATCATCATGATTATCATCAACATCATCATCATCACCATCATCTGCAACTTCGTCGTCATCACCATCATCACCACCATCAACATCGACATCATCAGTGTCACCATCGTGTCATCATCAGAAACAGCATCTTCATAACTAGTCATCAGCATTATCATTATTGTAAAGATTATCATCAGCAGCGGCATCATCATCATCACAATCATTACCACCACAATCACCATCATCATCGTCATCATCACCATCGTCACCATCATCATCATCACCACCACCATCACCATCACCATCAGCATCAGCAACAGCATCATCACCACCACCACAATCATCACCACCACCACCATCAGCGGCAGCAGCAGCACATGCTCGTTCGGCGCCTGGGCGGGCCCGGACGCCGAACGGGCCCAGAGGGACGCATCAGCCACCCCTGTCGGTGCGCGCGGCGCGCGGGGGTCGGCGCCTCCGTGTTCGGGCCGTCGTCGCAGGCGACCGTGGCCGCGAGCTTGCCCCCCGGCAAGCAGATGCGGAGGTCCAGGTCCGATGGCCGCGGGGAGGGTGCGCCAAAGCCGTGCTCACCCGCGCCACCCACACCTCCCCATCCGCCCCCCTCTCCTGCTCTCCCCCATCCGCCCATCCCCCCGCTCTCGTTTCTCCTGCTCCCTGGGCCCCCCTGCAACCCTCCACAACCCTCTCTCCTGTTCCAGCTGCTACTCTTCTTGGTCCTCCTCCTCCTCCTTTTCCTCCTCCTCCTCCTCCTCCTCCTCCTCCTCCCCCTCCTCCTTGTCCCTCTCTCCGAAGAGTCTCTGAAACACCAAGCTTCCGAGAGCCTCCCCAAAACTTCCGAGTTATCAATCGAAAACCATCGCAAACCTCCCTGCTTTCCCTCCTCCTGGCCCCCCTTCCCCACCGTCTTCCCCCCCAGCCCCGTCCTCTTGAAGAAAACCTCGCGGGCCCCGCGCCCCTGAGGGAGAACGAGGAACGGTGGATCGGGGATGGGCCCCTGATAGCAAAATCAGAAGTTCCATGAAGACCCCATCGGCGATGAATTACGGATTGGGGGTCGATGCCCCCCCCCCGTGAACATATCCTCCATACGGTCGGGAGCTTTTGATCGGAGGTCGATGCCCCCCTGGGCATAACCCCACCAAACTCTTGCCCAGCGCATCGCGGCGGCGGCCCCGCCGACATGCGATGGCCTGCGAAAATATTTGTCCCAGCCATCCTGTGGTGTTGGGTCCTCGTTTTGAAAAGACGGTCCTCGCGTTCTCCTCCTCCCGCCTCCTTCCCCCCTCCCCCTCCGTCCAGCACAACGCTTCGTGACCCCATAGGGAGCTCCACCGACGGCGCCAGTGGCAGGCTTCGCATGGCGGCCTCGGGCCATTTCGGCACGCCCCTCACGAGGATCGCGGCCCCATTGGGAGCTCCACCGAAGGCGCCACTGGTGGGGTTTGCGTGGCGGCGTCGGGCCATCTCGGCGCGCCCCTCACGAGAATCGTGGCCCCATAGTGAGCTCCGCCGAAGGCGTCAGTGGCAGGGCTCGCACGGGCCATTTCGGCGCACCCGTCGCGAGGATCGCGGCCCCATAGGGAGCTCCACCGAAGGCCCTAATGGCAAGGTTCGCGCGGCAGCCTCGGGCCATTCCGGAGGATGGTGGCCCCACAGGAACTCCTCCGAAGGCGTCGCTGGCGGGGGGCTCGCACGGCGGCCTGGGGCCATTTCGGCGCACCCGTGGCGAGGATCGTGGCCCAAAAAGGAGCTCCGCCGAAGGCCCCAGCGGCAGGGGTTCGCGCGGCGGCACCGGGCCATTTCGGAAAACCGGCCCCATAGGGAGCTCCGCCGAAGGCGCTAGTGACAGGGTTCGCATGGCGGCCTGGGGCCATTTCGGCACGCACCTCGTGAGGATCGCGGCCACATAGGGAGCCCCGCCGAAGGCCCCATTGACAGGGTTCGCATGGCCGCCTCGGGCCAGTTCGGCACGCCCCTTCACGAGGATCGCGGCCCCATAGGGAGTTCCACCGAAGGCGTCGACGGCAGGGTTTGCATGGCGGCCTCGGGCCATTTCGGCGCACCCCTCACGAGGATCGTGGCCCCATAGAAGCTCCACCAAAGGCGTCAGTGGCAGGGTTCGCTTGGCCGCCCCGGGCCATTTCGGCACACCCCTCACGAGGATCGTGGCCGAATAGCTGCGCTGCTTCAACAACCGCGCTCGGGCGTCGTACTCCGCCTTGTCGACGTGCAACGCCACCTCCTCCCTCATGCCTCTCAGAGCCCTCTCCTGCTTTTACCCCTCGGTCAGAAGGACGCCGTCCTCGTCGTCGTCGGCGCCCGCGAAGACGGCCACGAACGCGTCGCCGAGCATGTCGTGCTCCGGCGAGAAGCCGTGGCCACATAGGGAGCGCGGGGGAGCGCGGGCGAAGATGGTATTCACAATTGCGGTATTCACAACTGCATGTGGTTGAGTCCTTCGCCAAGCTAATTTCCGGCGGTCTTATTGAAGGACCGGGGTCCCACCAATAGAGGGCAACTCATTATTCCCAACCATTATGTGGTGTTGGGTCCTCGTTTTGAAAAGACAGCGCCCCGCGTTCCTTCCTTCCTCCTCCTCCTCTCCTCCGCCTCCCCCTCCCTCCCCCCGTCACACTTCTCACTTGTACACACTCTTCACACGTTTCGTGGCCCCAGAGGGAGCTCAACCGAGGGTCCCAATGGCGCAGCCCGCATCCGTCCCCGCCACCAATTTCGGCACACCCCTCACACGTCTCGTGGATGCACACATGCGTCCCCGCCACCCATTTCGGCACACCCCTCACGCGCTTCGTGGCCTCATAGGGAGCTCCACCGAAGGCCCCAGTGGTGGTACTCACATGCGTCCCCGCCACCCATTTCGGCACACCTTACACGCTTCATGGCCCCAGAGAAGCTCCACCGAAGGTCTCACTGGCGCAGCCCGCATGCGTCCCTACCACTCATGTCGGCACAGCCCTCGCGCGCTTCGTGGCCCCATAAAGAACTCCACTGATGGCCCAAGTGGCGCAGCCCAGATGCGTCCCCGCCACCCATTTCGGCACACACCTCACACGCTTCGTGGCCCCATAGGGAGCTCCACCGATGGCTCAAGTGACGCAGCCCGAATGCGTCCCCGCCACCAATGTCGGCACACACCTCACACCCTTCGTGTCCCCTCTAACAGCTCTACCGATGGCTCCAATTGCGCAGCCCGAGTGCGTCCCCGCCGCCCATTTCGGCACACACACACACACACCGCACGCTTCGTGGCCCCATAGAGAGGTCCCAAAGGCGCAGCCCGCATGCGTCCCCGCCACAATGTTTGGCACACACCTCCCACGCTTCGAGGCCCCATAGGAGCTCCACTGACGGTCCCACTGGGGCAGCCCGCATGCGTCCCCGCCACCCATGTCGGCACACAACTCACACGTTTTGTGGCCACATGGGAGCCCCGCCGACGGTCTCACTGGCGCAGCCCGCATGCGTCCCCACCACACATTTTTACACACCCTTTCACACGTTTCGTAGACCCGTAGGGAGCTCCGCCGAAGGTCCCTGTTGAGCAGCCCGAGTGCATCCCCGCCACCCATGTCGGCACACCCCTCATACGCTTCGTCGCTCAATAGGAGCTCCATGGCGCAGCCCGAATGCGCCCCCCCCCCCACACTCAATTTGACACACACACACACACACACCGATTTCACATGTTTGGTGGCCCCAAAAGAACCCCGCCGAAGGTCTCACTGTCGCAGCCCGCATGCGTCCCCGCCACCAATTTCGGCACACCTCTCACACGCTTCGTGGCCCCATAGGGAACTCCATCGAATAACCCAATGGAGATGCACACATGCGTCCCCGCCACCCATTTCGGCACGCCCCTCACGCGTCTCGTGGCCTCATAGGGAGCTCCACCGAAGGCCCCAATGGTGGTACTCACGTGCGCCCCCGCCGCCGATTCCGGCACAGCCCGCACACGCTTCGTGGTCCCATAGGAAGCTCGACCCAAGGCCCAAGTGGCGGTGCCCACATGTTCCCGCCACCCGTTTCGGCACACCCCTCACACGTTTCGTGGCCCCATGGGGAGCTCCACCGAATACCCCAGTGGCGCAGTCCACAAGAGTCCCCACAACCCATTTCAGCACACCCCTCACACGCTTCGTGGCCCCACAGGGTACTCCACCGATGGCCCCAGTGGCGGTGCCCACATGGGTCCCCGCCACTCATTCCAGCACACCCCTCACACGCTTCGTGGCCCCATTGGGGGCTCCACCGCAGACGATACTCACAACTGCATTACTCACAACTGCATATGATTGGGTCCTGTTGTCCGCGGCACCCGCCGTGCACCCGCCGCGCAACAACGACGACGACAACGACGAGACGAGGAAGAGGAGGAGGAGGGGGAGGAGGAAGAGGAGGTGGAGGAGGAGGAGGAGGAGGAGGTTTCAGGACGAGTCCTGTTCACCGCCGAGAGAAAGGAAGGGGGAACCAAAATACTGAAGACCTTTGGCGGCTACTTCTGTGGAGCCTTCCTCCCCCTGGCTCCCCCTGTGCGCGGCTGGCTACGGGCATCCCCCCCCCCTTGGCCGCCCCCGTCTGACCCGCGCTCCGCCCCAGCCGGTGGCCGGGCACGTCGTGCGCACTCCTTGAGCAACTGAGCAGGGACCGACCGTCCCGGCATTCCTATAGTCCTACCACGAATTGTTCTTAGAACCCCAAAAACGTTTCGAAGAACAAACACAAGGTTCTTAGAACATAAGCCCGATGTGTCAAACCAAGACGGTATCCGCCAGCAACGTTCTAAGAACATCTCGTGGAAATCACAAAAAGGTTCCTAGAATATTGTTTGGTGGGGCTATAGGAGAGCCAGGACGCTTCGCCACTGCTTGACACTCCCCCCCCCCCGCGGGATGACTCGGAGCCCTCGATGAGGAGCTGCGGCTTGCCTGTGGCTCGCGCGCGGCCGGCGCGCGCGGGGCCGGGCGCCGGCGCGAGGGGCCCTCTCGGCCTCCTCGGTGCGGCTCGGCAGTGTGGACCGCTCTGGTCCTGGTCAGGAAGAGCAGGTGCCCACGGACCCCCCCCAACCCCGCCCAACCAACGTGGGGGGGGAGGGGGCAAGAGAAAAACACGAACGGCAAGAGAGAAAGGGCAGGGGACGGACACGCAGATGATTGGGGGGCGGAAAGATACGGATACGTGTTGTCCCCGGACCTCTCCTGGGGTGCGTTCTGACCAGAATTTCGAGGCGAATCCAGCGGTGACAACGAGGATTCCCCAGGAGGACCAGGAAAGGCCGAAAACGAAGGGGGACAACACGTATCTGTATCTTTTTCTCCCCCGAGAAAGGGGAGAGGGGAGGAAGTGGGTCGCCGAACTCTGGCGCTGTGCGGGCGCTGACGTGCGGCCTCCTCCTCCTCCTCCTCCTCCTCTTCCTCCTCAATGCGGTCGGGAACTTTTGCACAGCGGCGTGTCGCGGCGACGGCCCCGGCTCCTCCCTCCTCCCTCCTCCCTCCTCCCTCCTCCCTGGGACGTTGATTTTGTGAGGCCAGGAAATAGATTAACGCATCGTTCCAGGCGCGGTGGGCCAGAACCGGCAGAGCGACACGCTATCCTACAGCTCCCGACCTCACTCACATCCTGATCATCCTCCTACCCTCGTCCGTCCCCATCCTTGTCAGCATCATCTTCAACAATATCAGCATCGTCTCATCACCATCGTCATCATCACCACCGTCGTCATCGTTGTCGCCGCCCTGACACATCCCATCAGAAGTATCATTGTCACCATTCATCATCATCATCATCATCATCATCATCATCATCATCATCATCATCATCATCATCATCATCATCATCAGCATCATCATCATCATCATCATCATCATCATCATCATCATCATCATCATCATCATCATCATTATCAGCAGCAGCATCATCATCATCATCATCATCATCATCATCATCATCATCATCATCATCATCATCATCATCATCAGCATCAGCATCAGCATCAGCATCAGCATCAGCATCAGCATCAGCATCAGCATCATCATCAGCATCATCATCATCATCATCATCATCATCATCATCATCATCATCATCATCATCATCATCATCATCATCATCATATCATCATCATGCTCTCTCGTCATCGCCGTTGGCATCGTCACCTATGATCCCCGCGAATGGTTGGAGCACCAGCCACGCTTGCACAGGCAGTGGCAGTGGATCGGCTGCCCACCCCTGCAGGTCCATCCTGGTGCTTAGTGGGCCCTGGAAACGACAGGGCCGTTTTTTTACCGGTTACGTTTTGCCGTTTTCTTGCCGGTTCCGACGCCGTTTTTGTTCCCGGTTTCGTCGCCGTTTTTTGACCGGTTCCGGCTCTGGTTCCAATCCTGGAGCCGTTTTTGTTGCCGTCTCCGGTCGCCGTTTTGTTTGCCGCTTCCATTTTTCAGAGGAGCTCTTTTTGGAAACGGTGACAAAACGGCCCCGCCCTTTCCGCGGCCCACAAAGTCCTGGTGCACGGCAAGTGCTCGCCACGACGGCCTTGGCGCTGGCTACTGCGGCCGCGCGACGCGGCGGCGCGCCGAGGGGCGAGGGGGGGGGTGCGAGGGGGCAGGCAGACCTTCTCGAAAGGCCCTCCAGCCCTCTGAAGGGCACTCCGCGGGAGGATGCCCGCCCACTCCGCCTTCCCCCCCCCGGGCGCGCTGCCGAGTGAGCCACCCCATCCAGAGCGGCCTCTGCTGTCGGGGATCGATCGCCAGAGGCTGCTGGGGGCCTTCAGTCTCGAGCGCATGCGCGCGCGCGCGCCCGCGCCGCCGCCGTGCCGAAGGGGGCGCGAAGAACCCGCCGCACACCTAAGTGATGGGCCGATGTTCCACCACCACCACTACCGTACGTCGACGAAATGTTGCACCACTTTTGCCGCGCATTGTCAGCTGTATTGCATTGCTCCTCCCCCCCCTCCCCCTGATCTTAATATTGGGCACATGGCAAAGATCCCTTGGCGCCCCCCCAGGGCTCGCGACAGAATGTTGCACCACCGAGCCGTTTCGATGAACCCGGGACCGGAGCCAATGTTAAGATTGGGGGGAGGGGGGGTGGAAGCGAACATCCATTGCAAAATCGGCTTGCTTTCTTGGCAACACCAGGTGGTGCAACATTTTGTCGATGTACCGTACCATATATGTAGGAGAGGGAGGAGAGGGAGGAAGGAGGAGAGCAGGGACCGACCGTCCCGGCGTTCCTATAGTCACACCACGAAATGTTCTTAGAACCCCAAAATGTTCGAAGAACAAGCACAATGTTCTTAGAGCATTAACCCGATGTGTTAAACCAAGACAGACCCAAGCAGAACTGTTCTAAGAACACTTCGTGGGAACCACAAGAGGTTAATTAGAGCATTGCTTGGTAGGACTATAGGCACGCCAGGGCGCTTCGCCACTGCTTGAAGGAGGAGAAGGTGGAGCGTGGCCTGGAGGCGCAACACGTTCACCGCCAGTGCGCCTCAGAGGTTACCGCTGAGCCCAAAATCGTACATGGGGCCTCAGCAGCGGAAGGCGAATCGCTACCCTGACAGCTTCAGCGAGCCGTGGCACGTCCTGAGCAGCCAGCCCGGTGCAGCGACGGGCGGAAAATAGCCGAAAGGCATAAAAGTAACATACGATGAACGCAACATTGGAATCATCCCGACCAACATCACGAAACAATACAAGCTTGACCCTGGGATCCCGGGGGACCTCGCGAGAGAGAACAACCGAGACAAGGGTCGAAAGCTTCGGGCACTCCAGGACATAGTGCGAAATTGAATCACTAGTCGAACCGCAGCCGAAAATACAGCCTGAGTGTGGCCGCCTCATTCGGTGGGCAGTAGTCCACGCGCCGAGCCAAGATTTCAAAGTGGCGGAACGGCATGCGAACAGAAGCTGTCGCAGGGCCGTTCTCATCTCCCCCCAGTCCACCAGCCCCACTCCGCCCCTCGGGAGAAACCATTTGGTGATCCTGCGATCCAGCGTGGCCCCGATCACGCGGCGAAAAAGAGCCTGTTGAAATATCGCCTGAAACTGTGATTGCCAACGGGACCTGCTTGCCGTAAAGTGTCCGATGCCGCTGCTGGTCGGGCCGGCCTGGAACAGAGAACGGCACTGACGACCTGGTTCTGACAGGCTGGCCGACGACGGAAAACCCTGGGCGGCAGATTCAAGGAGGGCGATAGAGGGCGAGGCCCAGAAAGGAGGAGCGAGGGAGGGAGTGGAAAGGAGGAGGAGGAGGAGGAGGAGGAGGAGGAGGAGGAGGAGGAGGGGAGGACCCATGGCAGTGGTGGTGGAACATATGCCCATCACGGAGCGCGAGGACGTGGACGGCTCGTCGCCCGCTCCCGCCGCCAGCGGGCCAACACCTCGCATCTGCTCGCGGGGGGGGGGGGGGAGAGCCGCGCCGCCACGGCCCACTGAGGGCTGCGGTCGTCGCGCCACAGCAAGGGGTCGTCCACGAGACACCCCCCGTAGGAAGAACCCGACCCGCAGGCCCCCAGGACGTCCACGGATGCTTGGGTTCGGGAACGCCCCGCGTCCCACAGCAGAGCCATGGACGCCGAAGAAGCCCAGGGCACCCTGGAGGCAAGCAGGGTGCTTCTCGCCATGGGCCTCCGCTGCACCGGAAGGAGCGCTGCGTCAGCAGCGGAAGGGCTTCTGTGGCCGCGGCAGGCCTCGGCCACGACCCACGACGGAGCTCCCCGACCCAGACCGAAGGAGCGGCCCGGCCATGGGGGCCAGAGCACCTCGGGAACCCAACGTGACCACGGTTTTTCACCGTCTCGACTAAGCTGCCAGACCTGCACACCCTCGACCCTGGCCAGGCTCCCTCGCGGCGACACAGAACGCACCACTCCACAATGGACAGGGCTGATGGTGCGATACGACCTGGGCACAACTCTGCACAAGGGGCCTCCTATTGCGTCCCATCCAACCCAGCCGAGCGCCACTCCCTCGCACAGCCTTGTACTGCACCGCTTCCCTCGCCCCCCCTCCTCGTAACTCCTCCTAGATTCCTCAGCCCCGCCTCTCCTCGTCCTGGTGCTGCGTGGCCGACTCCGGAACCCCGGGACGCAAACATGTTGACGACTCACTTTTAGTTCCGCAGCCTTCCGCCGGCCGTCCGCCAACCTCCGCTGGCGGGCCCGCCGCCGTTTTGCTTCCGCCAGCTCTCGCCAGCCTTCCGCGGGCCTCCGCCGAAGTCCAAGCGCGCCGAAGGCAAGCCGCCCCCGCGCCCTGGCCTACCTCTGGCGGTGGCTGCGAAGGCCCTCCCTCCATGTTCTTCCCTTCTCCTCCCTCCTCCTCCTCCTCCTCCTCCTCTCCTCCTCCTCCTCCTCTCTCCTTCCTCCTCCTCCTCTTCCTGCTCTCCTCTCCCCTCCTCCTCCTCTCCTCCTCCTCCTCCTCTCCTCCTCACCTCCTCCTCCTCCCTCCCCTCCCCCTTCTCCTCCTCTCTCCTCCTCCCCTCCTCCTCTCCTCCCCCTCCCCCTCACCTCCCCCTCCCCCTCCCCCTCCTCCTCCTCTCCCCTCCTCCTCTCTCCTCCTCCTCCTCCTCCTCCTCTCCTCCTCCTCCTCCTCCTCCTCCTCCTCCTCCCTCTCCCTCCCTCCTCCCTCCTCCCTCCTCCCTCTCCCTCCTCACTCCTCCTCCTCCTCCTCCTCTCCCTCTCCTCCTCCTCCTCCTTCTCCTCCTCTCCTTCCTTCCTCTCCTCCTCCTCCTCCTCTCTCCTCCTCCTCCTCTCCTCCTCCCCCTCCCCCCCCTCCCCTCCTCCTCCTCCTCCTCCTTCCTCCTCCTCCTCCTCCTCTCCTCTCCCCTCCTCCCCTCCTCCTCCCTCCCCTCCCCTCCTCTCCTCCTCCTCCTCCTCCTCCTCCTCCTCCTCCTCCTCCTTCCCCTCCCCTCCCCTTCTCCTCCTCCTCCTCCTCCTCCTCCTCCTCCTCCTCTCCTCCTCTCCTCCTCTCCCTCCTCATCCTCCTCCTCCTCCTCCTCCTCCTCCTCCTCCCCCTCCCCTCCCCTTCCCCCTCCCTCCCCCTCCTCCTCCTCCTCCTCCTCTCCTCCTCCTCCTCCTCCTCCTCTCCTCCTCCTCCTCCTCCTCCTCTTCCTCCTCCTCCTCCTCCTCTCCTCCTCCTCCTCCTCCTCCTCCTCATCCTCCTCCCTCCTCCTCCTGCACCTCCTCCTCCTCCTACCTCCTCCTCCTCATCTCCTCCTGCTCTCCTCTCCTCCTCCTCCTCCCCCTCTCATACTCCTCCCACCTCCTCCTCCTCCTCCTCCTCCTCCTCCTCCTCCTCCTCCCCCTCCTCCTCCTGGTCCTCTTCCGCCCTCCACCCCTTCCTTCCTCATCTTCCTCCTGGGCCGCCCCGCTCGCGCCCGAGGGGAGAGACACGCGCGCTGGCCTCTGGCGGTGACGACGAAGGATCCGGTGGACTGGGCGCGGCGCCGCGCGCATGTGTCTGGCTCGTGCTGCGTGTAGCTGCGCATCTGTTATGATTTGACGACCTGCAGTCGGACTTCATTGGACAGGACACGCGAGAGGACACAAGACCCTTCCGAGGGCCGCGTTGCCTCAGGAATGCAGGAAGCATGGGTCGCGAGACACAGGACACAAGGGTGCCCTTGATTTGGCAGGGTCGACCTACTAATCTGGGCCGACTGTACCATGCCACCCTAACCCAACCCGAAGATCCGCATTTCGGATTGGGGAGGTACGGGTTCCATGTGTTTTTGTCAATGCTCCCCGAGCCCCCCCCCACACTAGAAGTGGAAGGCAAATTGAAGCCGTCGGGTTGGGTCGGGGTGGCTTCGTGGGAGGTGATGACTGCGGTCACGGACTTTTGCTTAGCGCGTCGCGGCGACGGCAACGCCGACACTTCTGCAGGCAAGCGGATGACGTGCGCTCCGGTCAGCGGGGCGGAAGACTGAGAAAAGCTCTGGACGTTGACGCATGCGAGGAATCCAACAGGTAACGATACCGCTGTTTCCCAGACTTCTCCCGGGGTGCGTTCTGACGAGAATTGCGAGGCGAATCCAGCGGTGGCGACAACGGCCCCGCAGAAGGCCCAGAATGGGGCAGACGAGCGAGGTGCAGCGGCATGGATACCTTTTCCTTCTCTGAGCATGGGGGACTCGGAAGTGGTCAGCGAGGCGGAGGAGGACGAGGAGGAGGAGGAGGAGGAGGAGGAGGAGGAGGAGGAGGAGGAGGTGGAGGAGGAGGAGGAGGAGGAGGAGGAGGAGGAGGAGGAGGAGGAGGAGGAGAGGCGTGGTGGGCCAGAACCAGACGGACCAGAAGTTCCCAACCACGACGCCTCGGTTGCGGGGCGCTCGCCAGGGTGCGGCTCCAGGCTCGCCGGCACCCGCAGGGATGCGGGAGGGTGGTGAGCGAGGGGAGGCCGGCGGCGAGCGAGGGGGGAAGTGGGAAGGAGGAGCCTCCTCAGAAGGCGGCGGGGGCTTCCTCCTCCTCCTCATCCTGTTCCTCCTCCACCTCCTCCTCCTCCTCCTCCTCCTCCTGTGGGGGGAGCGGAGGGGGCCGTGGCAGGGCCTGCCGCCTCCGTCAGGGGGCAATCGGTTCTCGTGCTGAGAGGACGTTTTCTGTGTCTTCGAGGCTTCGAAAGGGTCTCGCAAGACGGCGGAATTCTGGCGGACGGGCGGGAGGCACCTGGGGGTGACCTAAGGAGAAGGGCTCCCTTAGGGCCCTGTTCCTCACCCCCATTTCGGCCACCGCCCATTGCCACCCGCCCGAAGGGGGAGACAATTTTGCTCTGCACAGCCTCAACGCCGAAGCAGGGGGGAAACAGCACGGAGGAGGGAGGAGGGACCATCGGGAGTGTTCCTTCGTCAACGAGGCGAACAGGTTACAGGCACACAATCTTCTTATCGACGGCAACATCAAAACAGCGCGTGATGCACTCAATCCACTGCGCAACAGCACACACACACACACACTGCAACAGAACCGCGTCAGGCTTCGGGCGCCTGGCTCGCAACGTACGCTGCCATTTGCACCGAAAGCCTCGCCCCCTGTCGTGACAGTGTGGATCCAGTGCTTTGGTGGACATAGTTGCGCTCTGGGGTGGGGGGGGCACGGCTGCTTCTGCCCCTCGGCGCCGAGGTGCGGCGCGGCGCCGATCGGGAGAAGCTCCATCCCACCATGGCCGCCGTGGGCGACCGCAAGGAACGTGCCGGGAAGAGCAGTGAGCACGCCGGGAGACCGTGGGCCGCCAGGACAAATCGCAAGAGTGAGGCACCTGGGCCAGTGCGCCTGCGCAGTGCCTGCGGAAGTCTTCCTGGGGCTCCGCGGTGCCACCCCTGCATCTCGACATGGGAGGCCGAATGCGCCCAGGACGGCGAACACGGCCACCCCAAGACGTGTTCAGGAGCAACATGAAGACGTACGGCAGGTCCGTGTCGTGTCGACCCCAGCGTTGCTTCCTGACACCGCGGGGATCGTTCAACCTTGAGCGCTCACCCGATTCAGGGTCTCCGGCGGCGTTCAACCTTAAACGCCGGCGGAAGGGTCGCCGCCGGTCGAGACGACGCGAACCTACCGTACACGTAGTGCATCCACGCTGGCTTCGCAGGAATGCACTGCTCGAGCGCTCGTAAGCACGAGGCTGGCCTCGCGGCCTTGGGGGGAGCATCTTCATGTACTGCGCGGCCGGGCGCGTACATTCGGAGCGTTGACCTAAGGAACCCTAGATAAGGAACGAGGCCCCTTTTTACCAAAAGTTTAACTTCGATTTACCATTGAAAACCTCAGGAAAACCCAGGGCAAACTGTAAAGCAATGAAAGAACACCGAGCCCCTTCCCAACGAACAGGGTTCTTTCTTCAGCGCCCCGACTGTACGTCTGCCGTGAACTCCCCAAGAAAGCAGCGGCACGAGTCACCAGCAGTGTCTCGACGGAGGCGAGGCCAACTCACGCCTTCATGGTCGGAGACGGCCCCTACGCCCGTCCTTCCTGCCTGGTGCGCCCGCAGGGCGCGCGACAAGCGATGGGGCGCGGCCCGCTCGCCTTCGTGCTCTTGTACCCATGCGAGACCCGGCGGCCCGGCCCCACTGTGGATACAGTAGGGACCTGACCACAAGAAACTTTCCACAAGAACCCCAACCCTGAGACCCCAGGACGTCCGTTGATTTTTGGTGTGGGAACGTCACGCTTTCCATAGCAAGACCCATCGAAACGCAAGAAACCCAGGGCACCCTAGAGGCAAGCAAGGTGTTTCTTGGCATGGGTCTCCACTGTAGGGCTCGGAATGGAAGGTCGCGGCCTGCCCAAGCCCACGCCTGCGGGGCTGCACAACGCGGTGCCGAAGAGGGACCCGTGCACCGGCTGGAGCTGTTCGCGCTGGTCAAGGTGGCCCGTCGACGCAGGTGCCGCTCGGAAGCCAGCGCCAGCAGCCACGGGGTGCGTGTGCCAGAACGGCCAGGAGGGAAGATTCGAAGAGATCCGCAGTGTGGGAGCGAGCTCAGCAAGCTAACACCCCAGGCGGCGGGCCAGGGAGGCCAGCCTCACGCCTGACAATGTCCTGACCACGAACCAGAGACGCCTTCGACGGCCCCCGGCGGCAAGGGAAGAGAACTTTAACGATGCTGCCAACGCGTTCCACAGCGTGTCACATGGTATGGTGATGATGCTCATCCGCCTGAACGCGGACGAGCTCGTTTCTGCTATGTTCGATGAATGTTTGAAGCACGACCATGTCAGTCTGAAGTGTGTGCATGGTGTTCTTGAAATGGGGATTGGTTATGGAACTCCTCTGGGGACTCTATCCTCTGGTTTTCGGGTCCTTTTAATTGGTCCGTTGATGGTGATGTATGCCAAGGGTGTCCTGGTCTTAGTGTTACGATCTGGTGGCTCAAGTACAGTCTGACTGATGACATGCAATATCGTGTCAACGTATGCGCTTGGTCGGAGAAGCCGATCGACGTGTCGCTACCATCTATTGCTGATGACCTTGCTGGGACTCAGCTTGTGCGTTCGCTCGAAGGCCTGATCATCTCAAATTAAGCCAACACTGACAGGCGTTCTAACATCTCTGGTATCGGCGGTGGACGAACCTCCCTCTAGTAGACCTCCCCTTAGTGAAAACGGCCTGGGACCGAAACCGGCGGACCTGGGCCTGCAAAAATGACGGCCGCGACGCCCTCTCGCGAACCGAAAACGGCCAATTCCTTGATCGATGCGTCAGGGTAGGAGGTCTGTCCACCCCCGAAAGGGGGGTTCATCCGACGAGGTTGGGCCAGCTCCTATTGTCCAGATCCCCCGTGGTACTCTCCAATATTGCCCTTTCTCTCTTTGCGCTGTGCGCGTATTCTAGAAGAGTATTCGAGTCCTATCTAAAAAGAATATGAGGATCTCCCCCCGCGGGGTTAACGGGCCATTTTTTCGTATTGCAACTTGCACATGATTCTGCCCCTGTCGCAACATGCATATGATTCTGGCCACCCCCGATGGTAACAGCTTTAGTAAACTTCTGCTTTGCGCGCGCGTGGCGGCTCCCTGCAGCGCCCCCGGGCGCACAACACCCCGTGCAAAGGCAGGGGCGGTGCCCGCCACGGATGCCGCCTGCCGGAACTCCTGCGGGCTGCCTGCAGGGAGGCCTCCCATGGCGGCCCAAGTGGGCCCCGAGTCGCCGGAAGTCGCTCCACGATGCCAAGTTTGAGCCTCCAGACTAGGGGGCCACGTGCGAACCCTGCCCCTATCCCCACGATTTCCGAGGGGGGGGGGGGTTCACTTCGCTCGGGAGCTCCCCAACGAAGTGAACCCCACCCTCCCCCTCAGAAATCGTGGGGGGTAGGGGTAGGGTTCGCACGTGGCCCCCTCCAGACGGCTTCAACCGCCTCCATGCTGCCCGAAGATGCCTCCAGTACCACTCCCAAGAGGCCCCTCTGGAGGCAGCATTCAAACATTGCCCGTTGCTTTGTGTGAGGTCTTCAGCGTTCCCACTTTGTCGGCCGCCGGCGATCTCAGACGGCCCAAGAGGCCCCCAAGATCGGCCCAAGTCGGCCAGAGAGGCCTCCAAGAGGACCCCACCACGGCCCAAGAAGGCCTCCAAGACAGCCCCGGAGGCCTCGAAGGCGGACAGGGAGGAGCCCCCGAGCGGCCCCCAAGAGGGGGCCCAGACGGAGGAGGCCGGACGGGCACTTCGAGCCCTCGGCACCAAGAGGCGTCCAGGCTGCCCCAAGCGGCCCCCAAGAGCCCCCCAAGAGGCTCCCAAAGGCCCCCACAGGAGGCGCCAAGAGGAGCCCCGAGAGGTGCCCGAGAGGCGCCCCCCGAGAGGCCCCCGAGAGCTCCCAGCACTGCCGCACGTGGGGCCCCCGAGCACCCTCCTGAAGAGACGCCAGCAAGCACCCGTGAGCGCTCTCGCCCACCACCGCAGCGGCGCCCGAGCAGCGGCGCCGCGTGGCGCACGACTGCGCACGCAGAC